TCTGAATCAGAACCACTGCAACTTTTGTGTTTCTCCCTTGTAAACTTTGCCTGCATTGGAAAAATAATAAAATTAAATAATTGATTTTTTTAAATGTATTCAAGACTATACAAAATACAAGCTTGGTAATTCAAAGAAAGATAAATCTCAACTAAAATAAAACACAAGATTAGAGGAAATCTTTTCCTGCATACAAAGAAACATACATGCCACAATGATATAAATTTTAAAAGTATGATCTCACATCAAGCTTTTAATCCTTACAAAAATCTGTTTTAAAAGCAAGAGTTTAGTATATATTTTTATGTAAAAGTTATAATACAATTTATTTCTTTACAGTAATATATTACAGAGTAGTCATCTAAAATAATTATTTTTAAACTGAAATGGTGATAATGCAAAAGTGTTATATGAAACTAAAGAACAAATTACTGTATATTCAAAAAACATATTATTAATGCAAGAAAAAGCATTTGGAAAATCAGACCAATTGGTCTTCTAATTTCTTCATACTGTTTATAATTATATTAAGTTAATATTATTGCTACTTGTTAGAACTGAAGAAGTTTCACTGGAGGGCAGCAATCCCCAAAGTGACAAGTGAAGTCTAAATAGCACTCAATTGCCTTCAATAAACGTCAGTGAACGACAGACATGTACAACCTAACTTGGTCAACCTGATAAACAGAGAAGAGCAAACCTGACTATTTCCACTCTGGTAGCGCATTCTGACTGCTTTTCCTTCCACTGAGGCTCATCCCAGTCCAGTTCATAGAACACAACCACCAAGGCTGGCACCAGATTCAGGTGTTTATTCATCCAGCCAGTCTTTAAGATCCCTTTTGGAATGTACCATTCATATGAAGTTCTCTGCAGATATTGGCAAAAGTTAAAAAGAGTTACTCGATAATAGCAGCAGCAAAAACCACCTGTTCTTGAATGCAGGCATTTTATGTGCACGTATCTCATTCATTATATAAATGAGCCATTTTTAAGATGAGGAAATACTGGCTTACAGAGATCAAATAAAAGCTAGCAAGTACTAGAGATAGAATCTCAACCCTAGAGTGGCAACAATTTCTATTTAAAGAATGACCAAAGCCAAGTATTTCTAATGATGTCAAGGCTCTCAAATAGCCTGGAAGCAAACAGTCCTTTTCCAGATAAATTCTACTTATATTCCTTACCATTCTCTGTTCTTGTAAATAAACTGTTATCTAAACCCAAACATGGTTTCAGTTGTTTCAAGACATATTGCCAAGATGGCATTTCACCTTACTTGTGGATAAAGGATAATTCTTAAAACAGAAGCATAACAGCAGTCACTCGGGGTCAGCACTAAGTGCCAGGTCATGGGGAGGGAATGTGGTTAATGTATTAGCACTGGAGAATTCTGATGAAATTTCAAATTACTTCCAAAGCACCTGCACTGACTCAGACTACAACAGCTCGTGTTGGTCTAATGTCTACTTCAGATGACGAATAACAAGAACAGTAAGGAAAGAATTGAGAAAAGGAAAAAGAAAAGCGCCCAAACCAGAAAACTGAAGAGAAAAGAAGGTGAGTTATACTGGGCCACCAGCCTTCCCTGACACGAATATCACATTAAAAAAAAAATGTGCAAGGGCCAGGGATTCTATTATTCGCACAGTTTCAGAGAGAGCTCTCAGTTTCTATGGCTGGGTATAGGAAACTATCTCCAGTGTGTGCTTCTCAAACACATAAGCAAAAGAATTATCTGGTAACCAAATCCATAGGTCCTATTCTCCCAGAGTTTAACTGAGGAAGCCTGGCATTTACATTTTTAATAAATACCCCAGGTGATGATCATATACTTAGTCCAGAGGCCCATCTGTCAGAAACACTACAGCAAAAATGAAAGGAGGGGGGTTATTTTGATCAATGTACCTTGTTAATTGACTTCTGGACCAAACTTATAAAATTATAACAAATCAATAAACATATATAACTTTCTTTAAAAAGTAAATTGACATAGCAAGCACTATTATGTATTAGCTGCTATTATTAATACTACTATAATTATAAATCTTTTCTAGGTAAATCAGAGTCTCTACTATGAATCTCACCCTAAAAGTCAGTTTTGAACTTAATATCTTTCCTCATTCCACACTGAATAAATTGTTTTAGTTTATCCAGAATTCCCCAAGGACAGAGAATAAGTCCTATTTAAATTCCTAACACCAGCCTACTACACAGTTCCAGGTACTACAGAACTATAGAATCTAACACAAAGCAAGTGCTCAAAAAATGTGTGTGAAATTGAACCGAAGTATAAAGACCATGGATTCTATAATGATATTGATAATGATGAATGGGGAACTGAGACCTTCCCTTTACAGAGGCCTTTATGGAAACTTGGGTTTTTTTTAAACAAATGAAAAAAGGAAAACCTATGCTCATAGGCTAAAAGGCCTACTAATTATTATTCCTCTGGGGTTGAAAAAAATAATATTATTAAACATACCTACAATGTATTAAACATACCTACAATGTATTAAATATATGAAAAATCCCTAGGTTTTCTTTATGCATCACTGTAACCATCACCTTGATAAACTCAGGGGTCTTCCTGTACAAATAATTGGAACAAAAAAGATATAAATACACATAGAGAGAAAGGAAAGCCCCCATGCAATCATAATGTCATTACCTTGGGTCTACATTTGGGATACTCGTGGTCGCCTGGGAGCACCTTGAAGGAAATTGGTACCCGATCAGCCCTCCGATTGGCACAGAATGCATCCCAGACAGCTCGATGGACAGCATTATAAATTACATCCAGGCCAGTAAGAGTAACAAAAGCCATAGGCCGACAACATAATTCCACAGGGAAGTCCCACTGTGTGGGGCTCATGTTCAAAGAGTTAAGAAAAATCTGAAATACAAATATGAACATATTCATAACTAATTTAAAAAGCCCATCTCCATATCTAATATACAAATCTCCACCATTAAAAAAATTACAAAATGGCAAAAGACTTTGAAGTGTCTGCAAATTGTCGAATACGAGAAATCAAAAAGGAAAAACCTTAATTCTTAAATTGACATATTAAAATTTAATTACAATTGGTATTGTATTTTTTTAAATCTTTCATATTACAAAGATCAACTTTAAGACAAATCAGTATTTTCAGGAATGTCTCAAAATGCACACATCTGTGATGAGCAGACCAGGAAAGTAGGAAAGTGATCAAATTAAAATAGGTTCCATGCCCTACTTCAGCTATAAAAAAAAAAAAAAAAAAAATTTTGATTTAGATATACGACAAAGTACAATACTCTAATTTCTCTGTAATTGCTAACATTTAATTTCTGAATTCCTGGAATATTTAAAAAATAATGTGCTAATTATATAAAGAGTCGGCCCTCCATATGTGTGAGTTTCACATCCTAATTCAACCAATTACAAATGAAAATATTTGAAAATAATTCCAAAAGTTCTAAAAAGCAAAACTTGAATTTGCCATGTACCAAGCGCTATGCTGAATCCACACAAATGAAGTGATGTGTAGGCATATCCTTTTGTAGCCTACACGCATTTTCTAGCAGTCACACTACATAGAAAGAGGTAGAGTTCATTTTAATAATATTCTACTTAATAATAATTCTAATTAATAAACCCCAAATATTGTAATTTCAACGTTAATATAAAAGTTATTAACAAGATATTTTACTTTTTGTGTACTAAATTTTCAAACTCTGGTGTGTATTGTACACTCGCAGCACATCTCAAATCAGTCTAGCCTATTTCAAATGCTCTATAGCCACATATGGCTACTGGCTACCATACTGGACACTGCAGCTCTAAATTATTTTAATTGTCCCCCAAAATTACCTTATAAAAATTGTATGAGAAATTCTTGCCACACTCTACCTTAAAAGCTTTGGCACTTGAAATGGTCATGTTTATTCTGAGGCAAAGGAATAGGAATTGCAAAAGACAGGTACAAAGATTGTGTAGATCTCCATGACAGCCTATAGGAGAAACTTCTCCTGAAAGAAACTAATGAACCAACTAATCAAATTATGACATGGAAGCAGGTGCAGAAGTAAATGAACACTGTGGATGGGAGATTATGTAGTGCAAGGGAAGTAATCTGGAAGCTGGCATGTAACATAATAAGGAAGACTCTTGGAAAGGATAATATACTGAAAAGAAAGGTGACCTCATCGAAGTGGAAGATCAATTATGTGGTCGCTATTTTTTGATTAACGGAGACTAAGGTGTAGGGCACAAGGCAAGTAAAGATTCAAAGAAGTTCAACTACAAAACAATCGTAATAGGAACAACAGTTTTGGGGAAAAGTTGATGTTGAGGATGTGAAGCAACAATCGATTTAAGAAAAGGTACCCTCCCAGGGTCGCAGAATTCTGTCCTGGTAGGTCCAATGAGGAAAGGCGGATAAACAATGCTGCATCCCAAAAAGCAGACTCTACCTCTCCTTTCTTCACCCTCTCTCCCTTAAACCTGGAAGCCCTAGAAAAATAGGTGCGTCTTTTGTTTAGGAGCTAAAAGAGAAATGCCAGGACTGCACCCGTTGACGCTGTAGGAAAACGCAGGCCCCCCCAAAATCAGCATTATTAAGAGCTAGATTTCTCCCTTGGCGGTCTCGCCTGGCCCCACAGGTCTCCAAGCCCAGACTCACCCAAGCCGCACGCACCAGGCCCGCTGCAGCAGTGGCCGGCCGCTCCTAGTCAGGGGAGGGCGAGGGGAAGCAGTTGGAGTGGTCACAGTCGCCGGGGCCAGTCCCTGCCACCACCACCTCAGAACAGGTTCCAGCAAGCGAAACTTCCCAGTGCCCACCGGCGTAGGCACAGGAAGCACTTTCTGAGCCTGAGTGACAGTGCTCTGCACCAATCGCTGTCCCGGAACTCTACGCTGCTCCGCAAAACGTAAGGAAGACGCTCCGTTTCCTAAAGGAGCAGGAGCTGGGAGCGGAGAGATAAGTAGCCAATAGGAGACGCTAGAAGAAAGAGGAGGCGGAGCCTCTGCCGTAACAGCCGTGTTGTCTCTTCCCGCACGCACCCGCGCCCCGCCTGCTGCGGCCCCTATCTCCGCGCCTTCAGCCCCCAGCCTGCAGCTTTGTGCTGCCGTGGGGCCGGGGGTACGCGTGACTCTCGTCTACGCTGTGAAGGGTGTGTCTCCCGCAGCCAAAGGTGCAGAACGGGGACTCCCCGGCCTCAGAGCCACTGCTCCCGCTTTCTCTTAGTAGTCACGAACGCCATCCGCACGGGAAGCCCCCTGCGACTGGCGCGATGAGTGCCAACGAAGACCAGGAGGTGAGTCCCCAGGGCAGGAAGCTGCTTGCCCCGGGCAGGCGCGGTGCCCTAGCCCCCAGGGAGAGCGACTGGCCCTCCCGATGCACCGGTGAGACCCCGCACCCTGACGGGCAGCCCTGCACGTGCCTTAGCCCCTACAGAGGACAGAGCCTGGCTGGGATTCCCCAAATTGACCGGTTCCCTGCGAGCAGTGGCCAGGCATGGTTCCGCCTGTGCTTCCCCCTCCTCCTGCAGTTTTTAGTTTAGTAGACCCCTAGGTCGCCCCGGCTTTTTTTTGAGTGTCCTTGGCCCCGCGACCCGATGCACTTGGCTCTCCTTAAATCCCGTGTGTTTAGCGCTTGTGAACTGAGTTATGCTGATTAAAATGTGATTACTTTTCAATTTTGTAGTCTCTTGGTTTGTAGGGAGAGAGTTAAGTTAGTTAAATTTCTCGTGGAGGAAAATAATGGGACTAGCGTCCCCAGTTTCAGATCATATTGTTTGGTGGAATTATTTACCCATCCGACAGTGTCCAGTGAATACCAAGTCTATTTTGAGCATACATATACCAAAGTTGCAGGGGATGCTACGTGTCATCTCTAGGTGAACCTAATTTTTTTAATGTCTACCGATGAAGAGGAAAGTCTACAAAGGTAAAGCCATTGCCCCACGACTGCACAGTGATAGAATCAGGACTAGAATCTGAGTCTCCAAGATTAGTAGTAGTTCACTGTTCATTTAGAATACATTGCTTGAAAGTTAGCACTTTTACATCATAGATGTAATAGAATTTCTGTATTGGAGGTAACGTTTGAAGAACCCAAAGTCCCACAACTATTTGATATCTGGATCCCTTCTAAAATAGTCTTGCCAGGTGAGTTTCTAAGCCAAGACATGAACAGTTTTTACTGTGAAGCAGGGAGCATGTAGTGTATTGTTTCTCAAAGTTTGGCCCTTGGACGACTACCTTAGAACTATTTGGGTGGTTGCTCGAAAAACCGATGCCTGCACTCTACCTCAGATAAACTGTATCAGAATTCCTATGGTGGGGCCCAGGGATCTCCATTTTAACAAGAAAATTCCATTCTTTTACTACATGACTTTTTCAGATCTTTGAAGACAGGTTTCCTGCCCAATTTTTCAGACCTTCTCATACTAAATAGTTCCTTTTAGCTTTTTTCCATGTCCATTCTTTTTAGTTCTTCTGAATTCATGTCTGTGGACAAATTATAAGTTTATGTCCTGTTTTAAAATTGTGGCATCACAATTCTCTACAGTTAGATCTACTATCAACTAAAACCCTTTAGTGCTTTATGCAAAGCAGTTTGTTTTTCACCCTACTTACATGTTTAGGTATCTAAGGACAGTTTCCTCTACTTAGCCAGTAAAGTTTTCGTCTTGTTAGATTGTTTTTCAAGGCCTTTGAATTCTTGTTTTGCCATCAGTATGATTCACTATTCTATCAAATTGCCATCCACAAATTTGGCAAGCCTGCCTTCAACTTTTGTAAGTTTGTTTGTTCCAGTCCAGTCTGTTATTCTTGAATCCAGAAAAAAATATTCTATATTTTTTTTCTGTAAAAGTAGCAAAAGAAACCTGAGAAACCTTGCTGAAATCCAGGTAGACTGTTTATTATGCAATGTACCAATCGAATTATCCTCTCTAAGAAGGATTGTTTACATATACCTTGTAATTCATATTCTCGCTAGGTCTTAGAAACTACTTCTTTCTCTCCCAGGTCTTTAATAAACTATTCTAAAATTTTATCCACAAGAGTCAGATCCACCCATCTTTGTAGAATTCATGGCATGCATTTTTTTTGAAAACTAAAATATGTCCCCAAGCACAGTCTTTCTTGGCTTCTCTTATCAGGTATTCATCAGTAATCACAACAGCAATTGAGTCTCATTTGTAAGCTTACAATGTTCTAAGAAATATTTCCAGACAAGAATTACAAGTTACATTTTCTTTTGCAGTCCTTTTTCTCAGCTTGGATAGATCCTTGTCACACTTTTTCCATTATTTTTTTCAAAGGTCTTCTTATTGTCCTTAAGTGTTTTTTCAAGTTTTGTATCATTCTGTGGGGAGGATTACAAATATAAATAATATATATGATATGTTGGTATGTCCATGTGTATTGTGAACATCTAAGTCCATTTTAGTTAATGAAGTTTTAAGTAGTTGAATGGGCTTGAATCAGAAACTAATGACCTGTATTTCTAATCCATTCATATGACTAAACAACAGTCATTTGATTCATTTCTTTCAGATGGAACTGGAAGCATTACGTTCTATATATGAAGGAGATGAAAGTTTCCGGGAATTAAGTCCAGTTTCATTTCAATATAGGGTAAGACATGACGTGAGCAGGAGCACTTACTGCTTTGCTAGAAAAAACTAAAAGTTGCTAAAAATGCTGATTTCGTGTTCTTAATTTAGTGGTTTAAATTTATTATGTCTTTGAATTTTCCGAATCATTTAAATGAAAACACATCACCAAGACATCAGTTATTTTTAAGCTTTAAAAATAAAATTCAGAAACTTTTTAAAAACTAACATAAACTTGTTTTTATTGTACCAAAATTATAAAAATGTTAGAAATGAAAGAAACCTCATGAATTATAGGATTTTTATCTTTTAAAGGTAACTTCTCTCAGTCATAACTTCCCAAGCTCCCACATTTGCTGTTGATAAATATTAGGATTAAAATCTAGGTCTATATTCCAAGTCTAGTATTCTTTTCGCTACCCTATGATATAGTCAAGAAAAGTTGATTTTTCTTAATTCTGTATTATTACTATGTGTGAATATTTTTTACATGTTAAATGTTGATTTTTCTCTAAAATGGAAGTTGCTCATAACTTTTCATCATGAAACAGGACAAATATTTTATTTAGTAAATAAATAATGTAAATCATTTATCTAAAGATTATAAGTAATAGTGGTATAGGAAAGTTTTTTTTGTAAAGGATTCATGGTTATTAACATTTCAAATAAATTGTATGAGAAATAATCCTTATACATAATTATTATAGACTGTCACAGGAATAATTTATAGTTTCAGTTGCCTCCTTTAGATACTCTCCTCTCTGCTCAGCTTTCTCAGTTCCCTTTCAAGCTCAACAGTCCTCACACCATCTCCATGTATATAACAACAAAGAGACTTTTAGTGGCCAAAGTTAATAAAAGAGTTAATTCTAAGGCCCTTCTGTTTGAATCTCACTGCTTCCCCAGACGTCTCTAACCACTGCCACTCTCCCCTTAGCAAATGGGAGATTGAGCTTCCCCTGTACTTTCTTAAATGTCTGTGTTAGCAACAGCAGTTATTTATTGAGCCCAGTATGCAGAATATTGTAGGATGAGTGTGTCTATAGATGGACACTCTGATGTGACCCACAGGCTTTAAGGGGAAGGAAACATGAGGTTCAGAGATGGTATGTTAAGAATCAAAAGACCTGAAGTACAGTTCTGGCTGTGTCCCTGTCAGACCCCTCAGTTCCTGCGCTGACTAGTGTAGAAGACTCTGAAATTATTCTTCCCTTTCAGTTCTTCAGCTAGCTTCCTATCTATACTTTAGTCCTCCCACAGACTACTAGTTAGTTCTCTGAAACACATGATTAGATATCTCATTCCTTTGTTTATAAAGGTTTCTCCACAGTTTCTCTTGTCTATAGGATGAGTATTAAATTCCTTAGCTTGACACTCAAGACCCTTTTGTTTGATTCAAACTGCTTCTCCAAACTTCCCCAGCCATTGCCATCCATTAGACATAATGGCTTGTTAAACATTTCCTGCATGTTTTAATACTATCCCTTTAGACACATTGTTTGCTCTTCCCCTCACCTCTCATTCATCATCTGTCCTACTTACCCTTTAATACCTAACTCAGGCCTCTGCTGTGACATATTTGGGCCGTGTCTCCTGTCTCTCCCTTAAGTTCAAAGTAGAATTGACCATTCCCCAGTTCTTCATACTCCATTCTTTCACTTTTGAACTTTTAGTCATCCTGGAGTTTAGTGATTTATCTGAATGTTTGTCTCCCTTGAAGACAAGAATGGCCCTGTCTCTTTGTATCTTTGGTACTAAGTACAGTGTTGAGAATCATGGCTGTTCTACATGCACCATGAGTAAGGACTTAGTGGCTGCATAAAACAAGTAACTTTTATTACTTTTTAATTATCTCTGTATAAGTATATCAACAGATCCCTAAGTTTATTTCACATAATTTCTAAGCTCTACTTTATATTGGTATGAGTGTGATTGAGGATGAGGGAATGAAAATCAAAAATTAGTCATCAGAAAATAAAAGTGAATCAAGTAACAATTTGGGGTGAAAGTTTTTTTAATTTTATGTTCTAGTTTAAAAATAAATATTTTTAAAAAGCAGCACATATACTGAAAATGTTATAGAGGAGACTAGCATAACCCTATTCAAGGATCATATGCTGGTTCATGAATCATTACATAGTTTTATTAGAAAATTAACATTTCACAACCACCAGTGTGATGACTGTTTCACACAAGGATCATTCCTAGATGATAGAACTTTTGAGTGAAAAGTCATTGAGACATAAGATACACAGCTTTGTTCTATCATCCTGCAGATTACTTCTTAATTATTAAATAAAAATTATACCTTACATTGAAGAGATCTGGAGAATATAACCAAGTGATCAAACATGGTATCACCAGTGATATTCCACAATATCTTTTGTGCCTCCTTATATGTTGCTGAGTCTGAACAGAGGAAACAATTAGACAGTCCTGATCTGGGGACATTGTATAAGAAAACTGGCCTAGATTATTCTTGTCATAAAAGACATTTAAAAGGTGGGGAAGAGGGCTGGAGACTGTTCTGAATTAAAGAAGAATGAAGAGATTTGACAACCACATATAATCCATGTTCCTCAGTGGATTATGGATTTTTGGCTTGTGAAGGTGGTTTATTAAAGGATGCTTTAGATGTGACTAGGGAACTTTTAATATGGATTATGAATTAGATCATGTTTTTGTATCAATGTTGAATTACTTGGGAGTGATAATTGTTTTGTGGTTATAAGGAGAGTATCCTTATTATAATGGTACTTTACCCCTACATATTTGAGGACATTTCATAATGCCTGCAAATATAGTTTCAGATGGTTCAGCAAAAACCAGAGTCACCCACATTGGGGCGGGGGGTCAATTCTGTAGTGGAAAGGAAAAAAGAGAAAGTTGATGGGGTAAAAGGTATAGTAAATGAGATACATGTCAATAACTGTCATTGTTCTATTCCATTTACTCTGTAAGATTAAAGTCTTTCAAAATAAAAATTGGGGGAGAGCAAAAGAAACAGAAAAGACATTTTAAAATTATTCGGGTGAAGAGGGTCCAAAGGTACAAACTTCTAATTATAAATAAGTCATGGGGATTTAATGTACAGCATGGTGACTGTAGTTCATGATAATGTATTGCATATTTGAAAGTTGCTAAGAGAGTAGATCTTAATAGTTCTCATCACAGGAAAAAGAATTGTAACTGTGGTGAGAGATGTAAGTAGACTTATTGTGATCATTTTACAGTATACAAATATTGAATCATTATGTTATACATCTGAAAGTAATATAATGTTATATGTCAATTATACCTCAATTTTAAAAAGTAAATAAAAAGAACAAAAGTTATGCAAGAGTTGCTGTCCAGCCTAAGGTATTACTTTCCTCATCTCCTTGCCTTTTCCATATTTCTCTAAATTTGACATTTCATTTTCTACTGTCTTGGCATTGTGCTAATGAATGTTATATTACTTGTTCTTAATGCCTCTTATGATTTAGCAGTTGAGAATTTAAGACAAATATGAGATATTTCAAGTTTGCAGGTTATTATTTTTGTCCATTCTTTTCCTGTTCCCCACAGTTGATGTTTTATCTTTATCCTTAGAAAGCTTCAATGAAACAAAAACTGTATATATAAAAGACATAATCTTGGTACTGGAAAAAGCTATAGGGCTGTTCAGAGCGACAGGCCATGGACATCAACTAAAGCTGTTAAAACAGAATAGGAATGAGTTAAAAGTCAGACTGTGCTACCCTCACCCCCTGTTGTGTCTTAGCCTGTACCCCTGAACTTTTTCAAACAATTATATTTGCAGCCTGATGATGAGCATTGGAAAAAATTCATTATTTTAAAGATCATATTTAATATTCTGTCTTTGTATCACTTTTACAAGCCTAAGATTTCCCTTTTCTTCAGATAGGTGAAAATGGTGATCCCAAAGCCTTCTTAATAGAGATTTCCTGGACAGAAACATATCCCCAAACACCTCCAATTATATCTATGAACGCTTTTTTTAACAACACCATGTAAGTAGTATTTCCTTTTTATTGCTTTTTTTTTTTTAACACTCTTTTACTTTTCTCTTAGTGGTATATTTCTTGTGCATTGTAGATCCTCAGCTGTAAAGCAGAGCATATTAGCCAAGTTACAGGAAGCAGTGGAAGTTAATCTTGGCACTGCTATGACCTACACGTTGTTCGAATATGCCAAGGACAATAAAGAACAGTTCATGGAGAACCACCATCCTGTTAATTCTACGGTGAGTGTGTGGTGTGCTGGGTTCAGGGTACTTGTGGTCTGTGAGGAGATGATGATCAGGAGGCTGGAAGGAAAGGGGGTGAATCTCGAGGCCAGCTTCAAGGGCTCCTCAGGTATAATTCTGGGAATGGGTAAGGGAGTCATGGCAACCTACTACCTTCGTGCTGCCAGTAAGATTAAGAAATTCTTGGAAATCTAGCTGCCCATCACAGTCGATGTCCAGTTTCTTCATCATGCAGTAAAGGACGCCATTGTCCTTCTGGTTCTTTGTGAGGGCAACCAGTTCTGTATTGATAAAGGTTAGGAACTCAGTCTTGGAGAGATTGCACCATCTTTTCCAGCATACTTCTTGAAAACAGCAATCAGAGACTCGATGCACTGCTCGGTCTCCGTTGGGCTGGACATTTTTGCCATGTTGTAGTAGAGCGAGATGCAGAGGCTGTGAGCAGGGAGCAGCATGGCAAACCGCAAGCTGTAAGATTTTGACACCAAAGGCCATGTCTTCTACTCGAGTGGTTCTGGCTTCCACGTTTCCAGCAGAGCACAGAACACTGAGAGGCTGCTGGAGAAGCCGTGAGAGTGGTAGCTAAGCTTACGGCCTATGGGCCACACCACGTGGGTTTAAATCCTCACTATACCACTTACTGGATGATTTGGGGCAAGTTTCTTAATCTCACTATGCCCGGTTGCTTAATCTATAAAATGGCAGTTATAATAGTATCTACCTTATAAAATTGTAGTAAGAATCAAATGAGTAATATATGTACAGCATTCATAGCAATGCTTAAACCTAGTAAGCATTTTAAATTTTACCCATCATAAACTTTGACAACACAAACCCAAATTTTTAAAGATTTTATTCACTTCTTCAGAGAATCAGGATAAGTTACACAGGCACATGTGATTTTTCTAAAGACATATTTAAATTTCCAGATAATAGCAAATTAATTAAATTGTAAGATTACTTTGAAACCTTGGAGCTTCAGTGTAATGCTGTATCAGATTTCCTTTCTCATGGACCTGATTATAACCATTGCACTAATATTGTGTCCTTCAATATGAACTTTTAGAGTAGTGAAACCAGTAATACGCTAAGGTCACCTGAACTAATAAATGAATATAGCGATATAGGATTCTTTCACTTAAAAAATCTAAAAATTATCAACTAATTTCAAGATATAGCCGTATTTAGTGTAATTCAATAAGTGTTAAGGCATGAGTCTAAGAATTATTTTCTTTTTTCTAGACATCTATAAGCAATATTATCTCAGTTGAAACTCCCAATATAGCCCCATCAAGTAAGAAAAAAGACAAAAGAGAACAACTTTCAAAAGCCCAGAAACGTAAGCTGGCAGATAAAACAGGTTTGTCCTAACTTTTTTTCTTTTATAACATAAATATGTTGCTTTTTAGTGCAATATAGTGCTTAATAAGTATGTTTACATTTAGAAGATTAGTCTCTATATTCTTGGAACATTCGGATCAGAGATTGTCTTTTCACAATCTCTGTATATTGAAAATATTTCTGCTACTTCACCACAAGAGAAAACCATTTGAGAAGAAAGTAGATGAGCGGCAAAGTAACTATAAATGAGTTTTGACTTTGAGGAACACTGGAATAGTATACAAATATGTGTCATACTTGTTCCTTCTCTGACATGTTTCAGATTTTCCTATTTGTTTATTTCTATGGTAGATATGTGTAGTATTGAAAATTTTTTGAAATATAGCTTTCGTATGAAATGAAGTCTGGTATACCATCAGATCTTAGCACAAGAAATAATGTTTTTGTCGTTGGTCGTCTTATTTATACAACAACAATAAAATTTGAGAATAAAATTCTTGTGTGTCCTAAACTGAAGTCATGTGGTATCAACCTTCAGAAGTGTTATAAACTCTAGCTTATATCAACAATAATTTTTTATCTCTATTTAACCTGAAAATTTACAAATTGATATCACTCTATAAACCTTTTTCCCAGTCAAGGAAAATGAAGGCATTTCCATGTGTGCATATATGCATTATATACATATACACAGTGTGTGTTACTGGGTGTCAGGTTACAGACTGCCCTTTATTGAGAGGAACTGATCCTTTTACTTTGGTGAAGAGGTTTAAAATAATGCCCTTTCTTTTATAAAGTGTTGGTAGTTTTTTGGTTGTCTATGTTTTGTTTAATGTCTGTAGCAGAGTAAAAAGATAACACCCTGTGTTGGCCCTCAAAATAACATTTTTGAAATTGTAATGATTTGTGAAATAGAAAAATCTGGGAATCCATTATGCCTAATGTCAGAGCAGCATTAAAATACAGTATAAACAACTGAAGCAATAAATTGTTAGCCATTACAGTCTGTTTTCTAGAATTTTGGTTAATCTCTTTTTGGAATGTTTAGCATCTATGTTAGTTTGTTACCTGTTGCTTTCATACATAATGGCCTGTGATTATTCCCTACTATTAATATCTCCCTGCCTCCATCTCTTTAATGATGCCCACCTAGACATCATTATCCTCCTATATTTATGGTATAGAAGTTTGTGACTTGGAGCTTTCATTCTAAATAGAACTTTAATGGGACACTCATGGATGGCACTGTGGATAAGTTTTAGTTACCAAAATTAGTAATCTGCCCCTGTGCCCCTCATAACCAGTAATCAGTGGGATAGATTGGCATAAGGGGAAAAGAACTGTTAGCATCTAAAATTGAGCTCCAGTAATATTGCTTCTCTCCAATAATATTGCTGTAATGTAAAATTAATGTACTTGTTTTGAATATGGATTTTGAAAGTTTTATAAAATGAGACATATAGATACATCAAGCATAAAGGAAATCAAAGCATTTTAAATTGAAGAAAATGTATTTATTAAACAATTCTTTAAATTTGACTATTCTATTAAAAGAATGAAACCACTTTGTAAACTATAAATTCTTATATAAAGGTTGAGCCGTTTTCAAGCACTCCTAACAGATTAAAGTCCTGTTTAAAATGTCAGATTAAATGATGAATATTTTTTCTCAGAGCATAGCAGTTAATAAGTTGACCAGGCCTCCTCTTAGTCTTGAAGCCAAACATTTATTTATAAGGCCTCTTGTCTTGAGCCTAGCTTACTAGTGTGAAACACTAACTCATGAAATAGTAAACTAACACAGCTTCTTAATTAAATAAGCAGTGACATTGTATTAAGCAGTAAAATCTTTGTTCAATTGCATGAAACTAATAAGTTGATTAGTTTTCCTGGGATCACCCACTTACCTCCATATTTTTTTTAGAATATTAATTAAATTACTGATTGGTCTTAAAAATAAAGTTACCATTTTTATCCTCTAGATCACAAAGGAGAACTTCCTCGAGGATGGAACTGGGTTGATGTGGTGAAGGTATATAATATTTATAGTCTACTCTTCAAAAAATTGTTTTAACTATTACCATCAAATAGTGAAATTTATTTCTTCTATTTTCTCTCCCTCAACCTTTGGATTTCATTGGGATGTCTGTTTCCTTTTTTACATTCAGCATGTAAGTATTCTTAAAATATCTTTTACATTCTCTTCCCTGCACCCTCCTTTTTAGATTTTTTTTTAAATAATGGAAAATCTATAGAAGTAAGTTATAACTAAAACAAATATGACTGTTTATGTAAGTACATCCTAAGAATGAACATGTCTAAATATGACTCATAGTGATGATATGGAAACTGAAGAAACAAGTCAGAGAAAGAAATGCTTTGATTTCTTAGTAGAAATTTTAACAGTAAATTAATTCTCTTATAGAACTTCATGAAGTTTTGCATGCCAATTAGTACCACAACTGCTTTGAGAAGCAATTAATATGATCCAAGGATGGTTCAAGATTAGAATTTTAATGAGGACCTACAAATATGGATAATTTAAAGTTGGCTGTTTGGGCCATGAGATACTTTTCCTATAGCAACTGTTTAAATTAATCTTAGTGCTTCTAGAATCTAGTACGAAAATATTACGTGGGAATAGGGAGCCATGAGCTACAATTGGAATAAAGAAATAGTAATTCTCACCTTTCTAGGCAAGAGGCCAACCCTATGCAGGATATCTGTATGGGTGAAGGTTCTCTGGCATTTTCCCATTTCCTAGGGCCCCCTCCACTGATGCTTGATTGATACTTCTTGTTGTCTTAGGTATACCCATAGGTATCTCACCAGCTAAGTCTGTTCTCCCTTTAAAATGCTCCATGCTCCAGAATGAGCTGGTTCCTAAATCAGAATGAGAATTAACTTCTCAATGCAGCAGATCCCAGCTGTAAGAAGAAAAATAATCTGATTAACTTAAAAGTAATAATGCTTCTTCCCTAACGCCATAAGTTTTTTCTTTAAGAGTCCTCATTAATGTAAATTAGAATTCAGGCTATAAAAGAATCCAGTACTCTTGGGAGATGGGAGAAGATATTTTAAAGAGGGAGGTTACCACCTAGACATGGTTTGGACTCAGAATTCCATTGCCCTAAGTTAGTGGTTTCCATATGTGGCCTTTGGGCCTCTGGGAGGTCCTGGAAACCCTGTCAGAGGGTCTGCAAAGTCAGAACTATTTGCATCATAATATTAAAGCACTGTTTGCCTTTTTTACTCATTCTCTCATGTGTTTACAGTGGCTTCATGATACATGGTGATGCCATCACTAATATTCTTCTATTAGAGCACTAATAGAATGCGTGCTTTTGTATTCTTGTGTTTTCCAGAGTTGTCTAAGGTAGTATGTTGGTTTAGGATCTAAATGTGTACATTTTTATGTTAACTCAGTTCTTAGGACCTGTACTATGTTCTTGTAGCTGTCTTCTGTTACACCTGCCTTACTATAGAAACAAGATTAGTGAGAACTCAGTTGTCTGCTATTGAGCAAGATAATAAAGAGATTTGCAAAAATGTAAATTTGCATTGTTTTGTTTGTTTTACAAAATGCAGTGTTTCATTTTAAAAAGTTATTGAGTTAACCTCTTTATCATATATTGCTATTTTTACATGAATTAAATTCTGTTTGTAATTCAAATGCAGTAGGTACAACCTACATTTAAATAAAATAAAATAAAATAAAATAAACTCTTTGGTATCCTCGGTATTTAAGAGTGAGAAGACGTCCTGAGCCAAAATATCTGAGAACCGCTGCCCTTAGCAGTTTCTGCTTTTCAGCTTCTGGAATTAAGGATTTGGGTTCAATGGGGATTTCTTAGTCACTAGGTATTTATTCTGGTCAAAATTTCTTTTGTATTCTTTGGCGATTTTTTATCTATTTCCTCCCACCACCACCAAATTTGCCAACTCCTGCTGTACACTTTTATCAAAAAAAATTGCAATTTAAGATTTTTATCACATTTTCAAAGCTGTACTTTAACAATTGTCTAAGATAATAGATCTTAACTTTTTTTACAAGAAAAAATTTTAGAAATTAAAAAAAAATATTTGTAACATAGAAGACGAAAGTAGACACTATTATTCATTTTATAAATGGCAGCTTTTGTATATTCTTGGTTCCAGTTTGTTTTTTGGAATGCTTCAAAGAAATTTCCTTCTTTGTTCTGTTGAGGTTATATTTGCAAAGAATTCTGTTTGAAGTATAGTTATGTATGGTGAAAGCCGGAGAGCGATTTCAGTTACTTGAACCTTGTTGTCTGTTGTTCTAGTAACTATAAATGTTTACTTTTGATATTAAGTGGAAAAAATGAACTCAAATAATAGTGAGAGCTTAAACTTGTTGAACATTTGTTTTATCTTTTTTTATAGTTAAGCAAAACTGGCTCTAAAGATGATGAATAGCATTCGGAATTTGAGACAAGGGAAGAACGTCCTTTAAAAAGTAAACCGAGTTCCAAATCTTCCATTACTCTTTTTCTGGTATTGAGGTGGCTTTTTATAAAACAATTTTTTTGTATGTTTCTACATAAAAAATGTTTGAAGCTGAAAGTTCATGAAGAAATTTGGTTGTGTTATTTTCACAAACTTGCCTTAATAAAAGGTGAAAATGTTACTGTTTAGTATATTTTCTGAAGCCTCTTGAGCTTTGTCAATGGACAAATGTGGAGAATAATAAATAATCAATGTAATTTATATCATCTTATTCTAGTGGATGTGATTTCTTTTTTTAAAGAAATACAAAGCCCTTTTCAAACTCTTGTCCCAATGGAGCAGAATACTGAGTGAACAATTATTCCACAGCACGATCCATATTAATAGGCTTCTGATTTTAATAAAGTCTTCATCTCTTTTTCCTCTTAATTACTGAAGCATAAATTGCTTCAGAGAAATTTAAATACTGGTATTTGAACTTTATACATAATATTCTTTGTAGTTCCTTTTTTTTTCCAAGGGTGAACTATTTTTCTTTAATAAATGAATATCTATTTATACTTTCTTTTGGTTTGGGTTACGATGTTTCATCATGAAAGCTTTCAGTGGTATGTGTAATAGGAGAATATAAAAACAAATCTGCCAAATACATTAGAAAGCATCTGAATAGAAGTGCTGGTTCCTATTTAAAATATTTCTCTTTGCTGCATATACCAAGATGGGAATAAAAGATGCCTTAATATTTAATTTTTGTATTGTTGGAGACAGTGGTTATAATAAATTTCTATTTACCTGCTATTGTGTATTTTTTAGTTGTTTAGTAACTGAGGTCTTCTAAATGATTGAACATAAAGCCACATTTCAAGTTTTATTTCTTTTCAGGTAGTCAAATGTATTTCTCAATCCGAGCATCTTTGTAATAATAGACATAGAAGTATTTTAGATGTTGAACTGTGGTACATGCTTAATTTTTTTTTAAATCATTAATAGAGGAAGCTATTAGCGCAGTTTTACCAGGGAGTTATTGATGTTTTATGTGCGATTTACAGTGATTCTGTATATGCTCCCCAGCTTCAAAAATACTTAGAATTACTGCTGTGGTATCTAGAAGAGTAGATTGTTGGTTTCTCAGTTACACCTGTATAGCTTGGGTCAAGTTTTTAAAGAATAATCAACTTGTAAAGAAGTTTCCTTAGCAATAAGAGCAATTTGAGTTGTATTCATGGTTTTTACTGAGTTATTTTAACATTGGCTTCGGTTAGATCATTTAAAGTACAAAGTAAGTGTGATTATGATGAAGAAGTTTAATAAAAGCTGAGTCACATTTTATGTCTTGAATTAATACAATAGAGATAGGTTAAAATTCAGAGTCATTGGAATATGCCGACTTGTTTTGGGGTTCGTGTGTAGTTTTTGATGTGTTGATTTGCTTTTTTTTTTTTTAAAGAAACTGCTACATCTGCTAGTAGAAGAAAATACTTTGTTTTGTTCTGAAGATTCTAAAATCGTTCACGCTTATCATGGTTCATACAGAGAATAATGCTAGTAAAATGCCAATGAAGTATTTTTACTCTTTTTTAAATGAAATTTTGGGGGTGATGGTGGCAATGGTGCCTCTTACTACCTTATGTAAAACACTTGAAATTCTCTCATCAATATTGTCATCATCTGTGTAACACTCCCAAGTATATTTTCTCGAAATCTGTTTACTTAAAATTGTATGGAATGACATAATTAATAAGCAATAAAATCTCAATTACAGTGATTTTTCTACATGTTTTGTTTCAAATGACTTGAGAGAATTGTTGGTTTTATAAAACTGCATTGTTTTATGGTACAAAATGAGCCCTCCTACTAGAAACTATTCAAAATGTTGAATTAAAAAATATTTTTTAAACGAGCTGACAAGAAGGTAAGGAATATCCAAAGTCTAAAAAATAAAATGAAAGTTGGAACCTAGAAGTTAAGGACTGCTTTAGTTTTCAAGTTCAGGGGTCCAGAAAGCACAGCACACATACGCACACACACACATACACCATGCATGAGACAGAGCCATCCCCGGGCCGTGACCTCAGGAAGAGTTCCTGTCTTGAAGTTTGGTTGTTGACAGAGGGGTAAAATGTAAATATATGTGTGTGTGTGTGTGTGTGTGTATGTGTATATACACACACACGCACACACATACACACACACTCACACTCTCCTGACAACTTCTGTGTCACCTCCCAGCTTAGATTTCAACCCAAATTCTTCCCCATGTGGACCATCTAAAAAACAAAACAAAACCTTCAAGCCAGGATTTTCGTTTGTTACCAAGTGGGTAGAGCCTCAGGGCAACTGGTACAAATGACCACAAGTCCTTTCTGGAAGAACCTACCTTCAACCCCACCGTGCAAAGAAGCCCCACATGTAGAGTGCATGGAATGTTTGCTCACAGTCAAAACCACAGGACACAGAAGCAAGGCACTGTGAGGGGGGACTAAAAGCCTCAAGGATATGTTGATATTACATAGATTCTTGAGTATTCAGAAGAAATTGAGTAAGGAACAAGAAACTCAAAATTATCAAGCAGATTTGGAAAAGAAGATAGAACTCAAAATGAAAAAATAATTGAAATTAAAGTTACAGCTAAAAAGTATTGCTTGCAAAGTATAAATATCCTGGAGAATGAAATCAGTATTAAACTTGCATTTTGGATTTTCTCTTTTTGTTTGTGGCATTAGCATCTCAGTCATTCCACTTCATTTTTCACAGGCCCCAACATTTTAGATCAGTTGGGTGATTCAGGCCTTCAAAGCTCTCCTTGAGATTACAGATGTGCCCACCCTGGACCTTATTTCAGAGGAGAACAATCAAGACAAGGAATTGGTCAGTGTTTCCAGAGGGCTATCTATGACAGCTTTGAAAATTTAAAAAAAACAAAAAAACAAAAAAAAAAACTGTAATAACAGATTTTTAAAAATATTTCACAGAGTGAAAACAAGAGGCATCATCTGGTAGGGATTATCTGATATTCTATGATTCTGAATTTCAGTGTTTTCAATCATGGGAGAGAATAATAAGGAAATGATGTATGTATGATCTAAAGTGTTTTTCAGACTTCAGTTTGTGATCCATTAGTGAAGAAATTAACTGAAGGACTTTACCAACAGTTTTTTTAGTGGAATGGAAGAGAATTGAACAGAAAATACTGGTGTATCCTACATGTTGTAAGGGTATTTTTGTGGGTGTATGTATGGGTACTATGTAAAATTTATTTCTTGAAGTGAGTAGTTGCGAAAAAAAGTTTGAAAGCCATTAATGAGAGCATACAAAAGTTGGAACAAATTTTATATGAAGACTTAATTTTTAAAAATACAACATGCTCTTTAAAGTGCTAAGAACATTAATTGTTGATTTAACATTATTCCTAAAGACCAATTAAATAAAGCTACATTACATAGTATAATGGGAGAGGAGGAAAATGTTTGATTTTGAGTAGAGTCTTTCAACAGTTGTACATTTATAATAAAGAAAACTCTTTGGGATTTTTGCTTATATGATGAACTGAAGAGAACATATAAGAGCCAATTCCTGAATAAATTTTAATAGCTTTAATTTCTTACTGATAAGAATCAAAAGTAAGAAAATTAGTTCAACTATCCCACCATTTCTAGAGGAATAATTCTTTTCTCCCTGGGTTTCTTGTATAAATCTAGTTTCCAAATTAAATTGTCATAATCAGATGATGTTGGTCATAAGCTAGGAAACATGCCCACAGCTGTCCATTTTCCTCTCTATGTTACTGCTGGTGTCTGGGAAGTTTTAAGTGATCTTGTATGTTTCTTCGTGGCCTTCTGGAGCTATAACATGTTCTTTTCTGTGGCTTCCGCAAAGATTTGGCACATTGGGACACTATTCTTGATATTTTAAGCAATAGCCATCTCTACGCCCAGTTCAAAAGAGAATGCAGTTTATAAAAGGAGGAACAGGAAAAAAAAATGCGGATGAAAACATATTGCTTCATATTTAAGTGGTTAAATGTTAACCTTGAAAGTTCGAATAGGACAGTTTTTAGACTAGAAAAAGATAAGAAGAAAGGTTTTCATTTAATATGTAGAATTACAGAGGACAAGCCATAGTGTGTGTGGACTGAAGACTTTCCTCATATCCACTCCAGCACTTCATTCTGCTGCTCCTACCACATTGCACGATGAAACAGAATCCTTCTTTTGACAGAGGCAGTGGGTCTCTGGATCACTATCACCTCGTTAGAGAGGGAACATACTGGGGTTAGGACCCTGGGAAAGTGTTCATATCTCCGAGGTTTCAGTGGGAGCAAACACTTTAGTAGTGTCTATATTCTCTTTATTGTTTTGTATTCTTAAAATCACTTTTTTCAAATTCTGTCTTATAGTATGATGTTTTTAAGCGTGAAAGAGAAAAATTAAAAAACCTAAACCTTTTCTTCCTTTGTTCTATTTTACTAAATCTAGAATTTGTCAGTTTGCCATTTTGCTGGATAATTACTGAATACCCAATATTCTTTACCTTCCAAGGGCTGCTCAAAGATAAAGCTTTAAATGGATGGGCGTTAGTTATTTAAAATCTTCATGATAACTGAGAAATCATGGAGTTTGGTTATAAAGATGCCCATCCATCTGCTAAAAAAAAAAGCTTAACTCCCACTACATTCTAACAAATGCCACCTGTTAAAATTTTCCCTTAGTTTCTATATTTTTCTTTTGTATGTCGTTTTTAAATTCCTTATTAATTTTTTATTTTTATCGAAGTCACACATATATATAGTTTTAGAAGTCAAATATTTCTACAAGGCTTTTAATGTAAAATGATCAATTTCCCTGCCACATTCCTACCAATTCCCACCCAACATAGGTAACCATTTTCAATAATTTTTAGCTTAAACTAGCCCACAAGACCCTGGTTTGTGGTCTGCTGCAGTGTGGCCCAGCTGCTGACCCTTCACCACGTTCCTGCCTTACAGCCTTCACTATGGCTCTTGCCTCCTCCTGGGACTCTCCTCTCCCTAAGGTGGTCATGTGACTAACTCACCTTCAGATCTTTGCTCCAAGTCTGTTTTTCACTCTAAGATGGAAAGCCTCCAGAAGGTTTTTCCCCCAGCTTTATTGACATATAACACTAAGTTTAACATGATGATTTGATACACTTATCTATTGTGAAATGATTACCACGATATGAGTAGTTAACATCTGCATCACCTCACATAATTACTTTTTTTAGTGGTGAAGACATTTAGGATCTACTCTCGGCAACCTTCAAGTATATAATACAGTGTTGTTAATTATAGTCACTATGCTGTACATTCGATCCCCAGAATTTATAGCTGGAAGTTTGTACCCTTTGACCAACATCTCTCCCTTTCTCCCACTCCCAGCCCCTGGCAGCCATCAATCTACTTTCTATGAGTTTGGCTTTCTTAGATTCCACATACAAGTGAGATCATAGTATTTTTCTTTCTCTGACATTTCATTTAACACAAAGCCCTCAGGATCCATCCATGTTGTAATAAATGGCAAGACTTCTTTCTTTCTCATGGCCGAATAATATTCCCTTGTAGAGAGCATTTTGAGCAGAGTGTGGGGCGATCTGACTTGTGTTTGAACAGTTTATTCTGGCTTCTGTGTTGAGAATGGGCTGAAGCATGAGGGAAGGCAGGCAGACCCATTAGGAAGCTATTGCAGAAATGCGAGTGAAAAATGATGATGGTTTGAACTAGGGTGGGAAGTGGAAGTGTGTGAGAAGTGATCAGTTTCTGGATATATATTGAAAAAAAGCTGACAGGATTTGCTAATGGGTCAGACAAGTGGGGGAGAAACAAGACATGCACCAAAAGTGACTCCTAAATTTTTGACCTGAACAATTGCAAAAAAAAATCTGACAGAGTTATTCTCCCTAAATTATTCTATAAATTTAAGGTAATCCAGTGAAATTGCAACTGGATTTTTTGAAAGAAACAAGCTTATTCTGAAGTTAAGGAAAACTAAGCATACTAGAATTGCCAGAAAAAAAAAAAAATGATGAAAAGGAAGGGTAACGAAGCAAAATCAGTTCTACCAGTTAGTAAAATATATTTCAAGCAACAAGAATTAAAGTGATAAGGTGCTTTCATGAAATAGTTCAGAAAGAGACCTAAATATGGAGATTTAATATATGATAGCTCTGTAGAAAATATCTTCAATAAATTGTGTTAGGACAACTGAATAACCAACCACCTGAGAGGAGAAAGGAAAGGCGTTCACTTTACATCATAGTAACTCCCAGATAGATCAAAAAATAAAAATAAAATGTTGAAGATTCTTAAATGTATAATTTTGGTATGAGATGACCTTCCTTAAGTAGGACATAAAACTCTGAAGCCATAGAGAAAATGCTAAGTTTGATGACATAAAAGTGAAAAAAAAAAATTTGCGTGGAAAAAGTTTAGATGAGATAAACAAAACTTATTTTCTTTTTGAAAGAAAATTTAATTTTTGAAAGGAAAATTACTTCCAATGTATAAGATATATATATCGGAAATTATCAAGAAAAAGAACTTAATAGGAAAATGAGCCAAGTATGTGACAGTTTCAGAAAAGGAAATGTAAGTGATGTAAAAAGATGTTCACTCTAATAAGATAATTTAAAACTGTGATAAGATTGTTTTTCTCTTATGAAATTGGCAAAGATGGAAAAGTTTGGTAACACTATTTTTGAAGATGTGAGGAAACAGTCTTACAAGGTTTTTAAGTGTAAATTGATACTACC